TAGGAGGTGTGAATTCCCCGGATCGAATCCGGTTGTGAACATAGCGCACACCAGGCATGATGCAGCATACTCTTACCCCTAAGGTGGATGCCCGGGTGGGTGAGAAGTCTACCAGCTGAGTAAAAACAAAGTCCTCCATCTCGGACGGGAACTGACGAAATTCCACAATAACAAACATACTCACAATCCTACGGGATCTCAAACAACCTAAAATCCCACGGGATATGCTCGGGGGCGCCTGAGGACGTTCACTCTAAGGGGGGAGGAATGTAAGAGGGATCAGCTCCCCTGACATCTCCCTGAGTACTCTTTGCCTGGTGTCACACCAACCAGGCACCGGTGCCGGTCAGAGTTTCTTAGCTTAAACGCAGATGCAGCTAACAACCACCTCTATCGACATGAGCACCGTTTAGACATGGTTGGGCTCATTGTGAATGATCATCCAAGGGAGGCCTAGGCCTTTTTGCAACACAGCTGACATTTGTCACCCGTAACTGTTCAGTATTGCCACATGACGATGAATGTGGTCGTCGACATCTTATCTTTAAACGGCCTCAAACAATGGAAAATGGAACCAAGAAACCGTGACAGGCTGCCATCTGGTGTAGATAAAGGCCTCTCGAGATGCTGGACTGGTCGAATGCTTTGTGTGTATTTGTAGATTATATGTGTGCCGTAAGTGTTTTCTTTTTCACTTTTGCCGGTTAAATTTCCAGTCCGAACGGAGGAATATGTTTCTAGTCGCGGGAATAAAAGTATTCCGAATCTGTAAGATGCTTGGGGCGGGCTACACCCCCCCCCCGGGCCCCCCGATGAGTTATAGTTTAGTTCGTACAAACACGGAGGTTGGGGAATGTCACAACACGTGCACACCACAATTTCTCCATAGAGGTGTCTCTTGCACGCCAGGAAGCGGCGCGCACTTGGACGCTTTGTCAGGAACCCCGATTGCACGGGCGACTGCTGTTGCAGAACCCAAGCAAACACAGCTGTCTGCAGACCCGTTAACCCCTACTCAAGCACTGATCGAATAGAGTTCTTCACCATCGTTCGTTTTGCATCACGTTGAGATAACACTAAAAGATAACACTACACGACTTTCCAGATCGCAAAAGTAATGATGCATAGCAGCAATGAACCAGAACCACCAAACGCAACCTCTGCCATTGGTTGCAGCCCCTGCTGTTGATGCTGCATGCTAGTTAGTGGTTCATCATGTACCGGCCCCTGCTGTTGCTGGCCTTCCACTTCTCCAGTGCCGCCTCAAAGGGGAACACATCCTCACATTCGCTGTAATGCACTGCGCCCATGTAAACATAGCTCCGAAGTACAGCTGCCACTTGAGGGGATGCTTGTCCTTCTTCTCCAGCCACGTGCCATAGCTCTGCCCCTTCACAACCCGCTGCATCTCCGGTCGTGGCGTCTTTGCACCGCAGAGAGTGGGGTTAGGAGTCTTAGCTGTAGCGCCGGGGTCGCTGCAGCCATCGACCACGACGGCCGTGTTTCCTGGCCCATCGCGATTGTATCCATATGAAGAACGTTGACGTTTGGCCCGCTCACTGTCGACAACCAGAGTGGCATCATTGTCGTCTGCTGGCTGCAGCATTGCGTCCACATTGCCTACGACCTCTACACCGTCTTCATTAATGTCGCTTATGGCTCCAGTGTAGTTTAATATCTGCTTTAATGGCTTGCCACGCTTTGGGAGCTTCGGGTCCGAATATTTTGCAGTATTTGGTCCGGTCAGAAACAGTCCGCCGCTGATTCCTCGTTCACTTTCGGGCATGACCTTCCTAACAGTATCCATGGCATTAAAGTACTATGATATTGTTAACATATATGTCTGTATGTCTCCAGTAAGATTCTAGCGGCTTTGGCATGGACAGTCCATTTTTGGCTGAAGGAATGAACTTGTACGGTCGGAACAATATCTATTCTTTATTTTCAGGACCGCGAACAATTTTTATTCCGAGTTCGGAATATATTCCGCAAAAAAAGTTGCACTTAACAGCGATAAGTGATGCTGCGGTGGCCTGCATGTGTGCAGTTCTATCACCAGCTGCAGCTCTACCAGAACACGAGTCCTGTCCTGGTAAAGTAGCACTATTTAGAGCTGTAATCTAGTCACTTTAGGTCATCAATGAAGACTGTAATCCTTACCTGTGGTAGGCGGTGGCGGGCTTTCTGGAGGTGGTGGCCAGATGGTGCCTGCGAATCAAAGGGGATGACAACGACCACTAGTTACTGGTAGCTGTACAGCTACATTGATGATCTTGAAGATGTTCAAGATAATGGTTGAAATGCAGGAGCAAAAGAATTACAACATACAGGGTGTTTCCACTTGGCCGAACACTAGTGTTCTAGCACTAGTACTAACACTAAGTTTGAATGTTCTTCGTCCTGGACTCGTCTCTGGCTGTTCTAAATGCATATATTGATACTACTAATGATAGTAGAAAATATTCATCAAACAAATCGGAGGTTGGGGCACTCCTGGCGGAGAACCGTAAGGCCTAGTGGAAACACCCAGTACACTAAGTCCACACTAGCGCACACTAAAGTTAATTGGACCTCAGACCTGCCATTAACTTTAGTACCTAGCACTAACTATTTGGCGGGCAACTTTTATGAGCTGGATTGTCCCTTCTGACCATAGACTTTAGACGTAAGCAGCTATCTTTTTTCCTTCCTGCAAACGCCGCGTTGACTTGCGCACGCCCAACACCGACAGCCTCAGAACACCGCCATTTTGCAATGGAGCCCTCCTTCAATAACTTTCAGCAAAAATATACCGCTAGTTTGCCTTCCTTCGCTGGCCGGACGTTGCCAATGCACCATGCGGACTTCATGGCGGACATCATGATGCAGGCTGCACCGCAGCGGACCTCAAATACGCGAATTCTTACAGACCTTGACAATTATCAGCAATTAATCCCTGGCGCTAAAACATTCAAAATACGAAAACAATTTTGGTTTCGGCGCTCCTTAGTGCCGCTAGTGGAAACACCGTCACACTAGCACTACACTGAAACCCTAAGTCCACACTAGCACATAGCGTACCGAAGATAGTGTTCGGACAAGTGGAAACACCCTGATAGCTATATACCAGGGCACTATGTAGTAGCTAGCTGGCCACTGGCCGCTGGAAAGGCCTCTCGAGATGTTATAACCTATTATAACATAATTAGTTAAGACCTTCACGCATATAATTTGTAGTCAATATGTGTGCAGTACTGTACCAGCTACTACACACTCGGTATCTATACGTCTGTAAAATTGTGGAGTTTCAGGCCGGTCTATTAATAGACAATATTGTACCATGGCACGCGTCAATTGTGCAATCTGTATACCAACCGATACAATAAATCTATCAACAATCTATTCCTCAGTCCTTTTTATTATATGATTACGCTATGCGTAGACCATGAAACATTTACCGATGCATTTAGGCGATACAGATTACAGATGCTAACCAAGCATTTGCTGCCCACACGCACCTGGAATTTTTTGAAAAAAACAAACTGATTCCAAGTACGTCAATGGATCCGCAGACGCCTTCATCCAGCCGTTGACATTGAAGCCTTGGCATTCTGGCAACTTGGCACACTCGGTAGCGGCTGCTGCAGCGGAGCCAGGGTTGCCCAGGTCGTCCCCACCGTGGTCGGTGTCCGGAAATGCAATGTAGCCATAAAAACTTGGACATGCTGTGGAATCGGGAAAGGGAAAGGTCAAAACATTGCGTATGACCCATTTAGCTACCAAAAGGCATATGCATTGCAAAACATCAATCGGCTTTGATGGACATCCCCGCACTCGTGCAGAACTTGTTACTTGCAAGTAACAATTGTAACTTCTTACTAGTTCAATGGATGCTGTGTGTTTCTGCATGCATGAACTATTAAGATGTTACAAGTAACAAGATCTGCACGATGCAGGGATGTCCATAAAAGCTGGGGCCCTGTGGACGTACGGTAAATCATTTTTAGTGCGGTTAACGTTACATGGTGCACCATTTAACGCCCTCTAGAGGTCTAGGTGCATGTGAGTTCAGCATATGATGTGGCTTATAGTGTGGGAGGGGGTAGGCGCAGTGTGTTCCCTAGCATCTCAAGAGGCCTTTTCGGCGGCCAGCTAACACACATAACAGCGGGCGCTGGCTGGGCCTTGATTCTCATGCCTTACATGCCATTCGGTAAGGGAACAATAATGGATACCGCTGCTGATACAACACGCAATCCCTCTCATGATTGCCTTTGCCACTAGGTGTACGATTGACATGTAAGCAGCCTTGTCTCGCAGTTCAGGCGTCACTCTTCCATGTCTACCGCTACCTTGTCTACCCTATACAAGCAGAAACCTGCTGATTGCCCATTACTCTTCATGTTATAAAGTAAAGGTACAACATGGATTTTTCTTTGCACTTCTCTCATGCCCAGCTTGTGAGCAGCCGTGCGGAGGAGTCATAATATTAAGACCATTAATGCATGGTCATCATAACACTAATGCAAGGCATAACTATAAGAAGGGTTCAGCTCCCTTGGCATCTCCCTTGAGTACTCTTTGCCTGGTGTTACATTGGTGCGAATTAAAAGGTGGGAATTTCCCGGACCGAATCCGGTTACAAACATAGCGCATTCCAGATGCAGCACACTCTTACCCCAAAGGTGGATGCCAGTAAAGTCTACCAGCTGATCACTCATGCGTGAATGTCATAATAGCAAAGAAACTCACAATCCTACGGGATCTCAAACAACCTTAATCCTACGGGATATGCCCGGGGGCGCTCGAGGACGTTCCCTCGAGGGTGGGAAGAATGTAAGAAGGGTTCAGCTCCCTTAGCATCTCCATGCATGGAGATGCAAAGAGTACTCATATGAGTACTCTTTTGCCTGGTGTTACAATAACTGGAATCTGCTGTTTTCTGCCGATTGTTGTCTGATGCTGTCAATAAAATTTTTAATTATCTATATGTGGTGTCTTAATAAAATGGAAAGGAACGCTTAATATACCAGACGGTCAAACCTTTTCCAGATGAGTGCTGCCAAAAACTGGACATTCGGCTTGCAAGCCTCAATTGAGAAGGCTGGGCAGTAGTAAAATGAGGCATGCACCCCACGTGCAGGGTGAGCAGGGAGGCATGCCTCCTGCATGCGCATGCATGCAGGACAGGCTTGCAACGGGCGGGAAAGACATGTGTGTGTATGCCCATGCAGGAAGGCATGATATATGTGCATTGGCAACGAGGCAGGCATGTGTGTGT